GGGTTGTTTCTGTCCCGTCGGTACCTTGCCGGCGGAATCGGGAGAGGCACGGCGCTGCAGCAGGAGCTTCGCCACTTCCAGGCTCCCGTACTTGGCCGCCACGTGCAACGGGGTGAATCCCTTCTGAAAAATTGCAGGAGATAAAGAGCCGATGCTTGCTTCAAAGGTCGTACTGACATCTCTCTCAAGAGCTACATACTTGTTCTTCAACCTATATTCTAGCTGGCAGAACCCATAGCTGCACCCAGGAAGAGCAGCACCGTCTCTTGAAAGCATGTTGAGAAGCATGAAATACAAGAAAATACTTTCATAGAATCATAGAATGGTTAGGGCTGGAAGGGACCTTCAAAGGTCATCTAGTCCAACCCCCCTGCAAGGAACAGTTCTACATCCGTGCTGTCAGGCTGGCAGACATTTTATCTGATACAGACTCTACCAGCAACATCCACTCTGTGTGTGGGCAATGAAGGCACTCGTTCAACTTTCTACTCCAAACCAGCTGCGCTTTTTAGTTTCATGGTGACAGCTTTAGAAATATTTCCTGTACCAATTGTTGCCAGTAACAATGAAACACCAACTAAATTCAGTGAGACAAAGTCCAAACTTCACATTCCTCCTTTTAGAGAGAGTTTGTTGAAGAATGATTTCTATTTGGACTCATGTACCCTAGAATCATCAAACGGTTTGGGTTGGAAGGGACCTCAAAAATTATCCAGTTCCAACCCCCCTGCCATGGGCAGGGACACCCTCCACTACACCAGGTTGCCCAAACCCCATCCAGCCTCGCCTTGAACACTTCCAGGGATGGGGCAGCCACAGCTTCTCTGGGCAACCTGGGCCAGTGCCTCACCACGCTCAGAGGTAAGAATTTCTTCGTCAGATCTCATCTAAATCTCCCCTCTTTCCATTTAAAGTCATTGTCCCTTGTCCTATCACTAAGACTAAAAATCTCCTCCTTTAAAAAGAGCCCTTTTCTCTTTGTTTTAATAACGCTTGGCAGTACAGCGCAGGTGTAAGGTCTGTGTCAAACAAACATGCTCTTTGACTGTTTTTTTCTTAATTTAAAAAAAAACATTGATAAGGAAAACTCGTAGATGCAAGACAGCAGGTGGCAGAGTGCACCGCTGCCCCGGCAGTAATTCCGGGGAGCTACAATGACCTATTTGCCTGACACATGAGTGATGTGTAATGTTTACCATTATCATCTTGTTCCATCAATCCCACCTCGAAAAGAGTTGAGGGAATCTCAAACATTTCAAGTCCATGAATCACGGGTCTGTAGTAAGATTACCTAGCAGACTACATCTTGTCCTACTCACAGTCATAGAACATTCCTGCAGTCCTAAAGCAATTGCCATAAAGCAATATGGGAAATTAAGAAAGTATTTAGGGTATTTTTAGCGTGATTTAACAGCTGGATAAAAGGAGAACAGCAAGCATTCCCAGTAATCCATGGATCATAATTTGAAAATTGCTGGTTTAGTCTTCCAAAGCCTGGAAGACACCCCATTGTTCAAAAATATGTTTTAAGCTCCAGCTGCAAAATCAGGAGTACTTTTTGAAGACCTAAAACAACAGTGGGAATTAAATGATTCTCACTTAATCACACGTGATAAATTTGGAAGAGACACACCTTGGCACACAATTCTGTTCACTGATACGTATTTTCTCACATGTTCATCACGCTGTCAGGAATCTGTCAGTAAACATTTTTGGCTAACAAAATAATAACGATTCTGCAGCCTATTTCTTTTAGAACCCTAAACAAAATGGCCTGTTGTGCCATATGACACCTCATTTATATAACCACTGCAAACAGATTTAAGTGTTAGATGCGACTGGACAGATGCTGACTTGTATGTTTTAGGAACATTACTTTCAGCTAGCACAGACCAGATTTATTTTACTCTTTAAATAAAAAAGGTATTGAAGAACAAGCAGGCCTGTTCATAAAAAAAAAAAAGCGTTGTCTTCGTCCCCTTTATTGAAAATTTTGGCCAAAAAAGCCCTACTCATAAGACAATAGGAGAGAGAAAAACGAAGAATTTGCGTACGTTTTAAACTTTCTGGGACCATGTATTTATCATCATCTGCGTTTGGCTCCGGTGGGAACCAAACTCCCAACTTTACAGGACAGCAAAACACGTCAAAACTTGATTAACTCCTGATACACGACTCCAGAACACAACGGAAGACCCAAACTAGCTCAATTCCTCAGTGTGAACGTTCATTCCTCGTGCCTCTGCCACTGGAACGCAAAAGTAAAGCATTTTCTCTTACTTTGGTGGACATGGAGTGCGAGGCACCTGCCTCGAGGAGCACTGATGCGACATCGACTTGTCCCTCTCTGGCAGAGATGTGCAGGGGAGTGTAGCCGTTGGTGGTAGCCGCGTCGGGGTGGGCCATGTGCTGTAGCAGAAGTTGGACGATCTCCGTCTTACCCAAGCGAGAAGCGATGTGCAGTGGAGTCTGTTCTTCCTACAACTCAAATCGAGTAGATCATTAGCGCCGGTAGAACCCTTCTGGTTGATCCCAATAGATCTATCCATGCGTTGGTCTTGCGAAAACCATAGGAAGCAATGGTACAAAAAAAGGCACTAACGGAGGGCTCACGGGTTAATTTTCGCGATGATCTTCAGCAATGTCTTATGAGAACAGAGGGAAAACCACCGTTTTTCCCTTTTATCCAGCAGATAGTGAGCAACGCTTGCTCTCTTTTGTGTTATAGAATCATAGAATGGTTAGGGCTGGAAGGGACCTTCAAAGGTCATCTAGTCCAACCCCCCTGCAAGGAACAGGCATATCTCCAACTAGATCAGGTTGCTCAGGGCCTCATCCAACCTGGCCTTGAACGTCTCCAGGGATGGAGCATCCACCACCTCTCTGGGCAACCTGTTCCAGTGTTCTACAACTCTTATGGTAAAAAATTTTTTCCTAATATCCAACCTGAATCTACCTCCCTCTATTTTAAAACCATTACCCCTTGTCCTATCAAAAACCAAAAACCTATTTTAAAACCATTACCCCTTGTGTTCTTATTCTGTTTTACAACAGCTGTACCCTTCCTCTACAAACAGTCCCTTTGGTTTCCAAATCCACCACTAACCGCTACCCGAACCTCTGATGTTCTTTTTTAGGACGTGGCTGTGCACCTCCTTGCTCGGAGAGACAGGATAGCTCTGGGTGGTCTGAGTCAGGCACGTTGTACTGAGTCTAGCCAGGATGGAGTTAATTTTCATCACAGCAGCCCGTATAGTGCCCTGTTTTAAAGCTTTCTCTGCTTCTCCCTCTGCCTCTGCAGGGAACAGGCTGAGGGTGGGCAAGAGGTTGGGAGAGGACACAGCCAGGACAGCTGGCCTGAACTGACCCAAGAGATAATCCATACCATATGATGTCATGCTCTGCAATACAACGGGGGGATGAGTTTTCCCAAAGGAGCCGTTGCTTGGAGACCAGCTGGGCATGGGTCTGCTTGTGGGAGGTGGTGAGTGATTGCCTCTGCATCACTTGTTGGGAGGGGGGGTGCTGGTTTTGTGGTTTCTTTTTTTTTTTGTAGGTTTTTTTCCTTCTTTCTCCTTCACCTTCTAACCTGTCTTTATCTCAACCCAAGAGATTTTCTCGCTTTCACCCTTCCAGCTCTCTCCCCCATCCTGCTGTGGAGGCAGCAGGCGGACGATGAGCCGGGGTCAGCCCACCACACACATTCTCTTTGGAAGATCTACGCTTAAACAGGTTTCTCTTTTCAGAACTGTTTTTGGGTGTGCTTAATACTGAATCAACAGACCAAACGAAAAAGAAACGTCTCCTCCCTAGCTCCTCTGCTTCAGCTACGTTTTTGAGTAAGAGAAAGCAAAAAAAAACCACAATTGTAAGCAGAACACCTACCCTGGCTCGGGCATCAACCAGGGCTCCGTTTCTCAGGAGGCAACGAACTACTTCCACCTGCCCGGCACGTGCCGCCATGTGCAACGCCGTTTCTCCACGCTGCAGAAAAAACACAAGTGTTTCAGTGTCTTCAAATCTCCATGAAAAAAACACGACTTCCGACGGTACGAATTCCACCTACGGAGACCTGGGTACGCTTTGGTTGGCCAACTCATAGAATCATAGAATGGTTAGGGCCGGAAGGGACCTTCAAAGGTCATCTAGTCCAACCCCCCTGCAAGGAACAGGGATATCTCCAACTAGATCAGGTTGCTCAGGGCCTCGTCCAACCTGGCCTTGAACGTCTCCAGGGATGGAGCAGCCACCACCTCTCTGGGCAACCTGTTCCAGTGTTCTACAACTCTCATGGTAAAAAATTTTTTCCTAATATCCAACCTGAATCTACCTCCCTCTATTTTAAAACCATTACCCCTTGTCCTATCACAACTGGCCCTCCTGAACAGCCTCTCCCCATCTTTCTTGTAGGCCCCCTTGAGGTACTGGAAGACCGCTATAAGGTCACCCCGCAGCCTCCTCTTCTCCAGGCTGAACAGCCCCAACTCTTTCAGCCTGTCTTCATAGGATGATCTCGATGATCCCAGACAAATGTCATCTCACTCCGGAGGGTCAGAATAGAAATCCTGCCTTAGAGAAAATTCTGCCCTATAGACTCCCTTGGTCACGTACGTGACTTTCTACGCGACAGCGCATCAGCTTGCGTGCTGCGCAGGAGGTAACAGCATACTGAGCCTGCCTCCTCGAGGCACATGAGCCTTGAGATGGAAGGAGATATTTTTCCAGATGGTCCCTTCCTGCGCGCTGCGTGGAGCTGGCAGCGTTAACAGGCCTTGCGACGGCCGGGCACGACTGAGCCAGCATAGGAAACGTGTAAAATCTGTGCTCAGCAGCGTGGCTCTGTCCTCAGGCTAGGGAACGGACCTCGTGTCGAGCCTGTTGTAGCCCACGGCATTTGAAGGGGAATAGGAAATTCCGGAAAGCTGACGGGAGTGATGTGGAATTTCAGAGCAGGATAACGACGTACGGACGACGCATTCGAAGCGTTGGCTTTCTGCCCACCTTTGCGAAGGAACATTGGATCTGAGTATTCCTTGAAGATGGTGCTTCTGGCTTAATTTTGCACTGTCCAACACTATGCACTGTCCTAAAGTGGACTAAACCAGTCCCTGTGCAGCTCATCGGCTTCTGCTACGTTTGGTACTGGGACAGTTCTGCAACTGGGAGCTCTGTATTTATCTGTTACGTTATGACAACACAGTGGGACTGATCACTTCTTTGTGCTAATTGTTCCTTCTCCTTACTCCAGAGCTGGAGTATATCCTGTTGTAAGGATTCTACCCTCACAACTATCAAGTTAAACTTCGATTGCCAAAAGGAACCCTCTGGTCAAGATCTTCTGCATTGGAATTGGGAATCGTGTCTTCTTGTCCTCTATCTAGACGTAGGAAAAGCGGCAGCCTGAGCTCACCTACTGCTCCAAACCACTAATTAAAGCAAACCGTCTTCACCAGGACTTGATTTATCTTGTCATTTTAAAATTACCATTGTATCACCAGCTGCGATTAGTCAGTAGGCAACAAACAAAATCCCCCCCAGCCCTAGCTACAAATCCTAATCGAAAATTTCACCTCTACAAACTTTACTACCTGAAGAATGAGCTGTTTAAAACGTGAATAAGATTTACATTTTGCACACTCTAAAGATCAAATTTCTATAAAGACCCTTTTTTTTTTTTTGTACTTGAATTAGCAAAGCGATTTAGCTTTTGGAGTTAGTAATTCACCAGGGAGCTTGAGCTTACCAAGTATAGAATCATAGAATCATAGAATGGTTAGGGCTGGAAGGGACCTTCAAAGGTCATCTAGTCCAACCCCCCTGCAAGGAACAGGGATATCTCCAACTAGATCAGGTTGCTCAGGGCCTTGTCCAACCTGGCCTTGAACGTCTCCAGGGATGGAGCATCCACCACCTCTCTGGGCAACCTGTTCCAGTGTTCTACCACTCTCATAGTAAAAAATTTTTTCCTAATATCCAACCTGAACCTACCTCCCTCTATTTTAAAACCATTACCCCTTGTCCTGTCATAACTGGCCCTCCTGAACAGCCTCTCCCCATCTTTCCTGTAGGCCCCCTTGAGGTACTGGAAGACCGCTATAAGGTCACCCTGGAGCCTCCTCTTCTCCAGGCTGAACAGCCCCAACTCTTTCAGCCTGTCCTCATAGGAACAACTCTACCAGCCTGTCCTGGTATAAGCCAGGACACCCGTGTAGCATAAATTGCAAAGCGTTAAACTTTGCTCACAGATGTCTGGTAACACGGTACTTTTAATTGCTTCCCCAAGGCTGTCTTACAGGCTTTCATATCATCAATCAAGTTTTTATATAAAGATTGCTTCTATAAAAAGGTATGACAGCAGTAAGAGACTTTGTCAAGAAAAGTCCGTTCTGATGATGCGAGTGAACAACTCAGGGTGCTCAACGTTTTTACCAGGTTCCATACAAGATTCTTCTAACTAAGAAAAAGTGAAGAGCCCAGCGTACCTGGGTTACTAAATTTTTGTTGGGAACATTTATCTGTAACACTATTTACTGCTGAAAAGCTCCTTCCAAAGTGCAGGTGGTCCTTAGTTGACTATTTGTTTCTACTGACAAATTTGAACAATAAGATATTTTCTGTGAAACCCAGCTCAGAACACTGCCATGTTCTTTTTATTCTTATTCCTCCTGGTAACTCCTGGTAACTATCGGTATACAAACACTGATTTCCATGGTAAGTCAGGCTCTGCTTTTTGTGTTATCTCCCAAAGGTCACATTTTCTAGATTTAATCACGATCTTAAGCAAGGCACCGGATCCTGGGATTTCCTCTGCAAGAGGAACATCTCGAGTTTAATGTTTTATTTTTTTGTTTCATCGTTAGGTTTTAAGCAACTGATACCGTTTCACTGATACAAACGACAATTCCACGGCAGCCAGCAAAACCACGCCAGCAGAAATGAGAGCCCTTTGGACTTCAATTCCATCCTGCGGAATGGAAACACAGGCTTCCCTGTGACTTGGCTTCTGACCAGGTTTGGATGGTTTTGGTGAGCTTTGCCTGTTTCTAAGGAAGACTTTACCTACTCAAGCATTGTTGAAGAACACATGAACCCACAGATGGCTTATAATGCATATTCAATCACCGTTTTCCCCTTTCCACTACAGATGCTAGGATCATAGAATCATAGAATGGTTAGGGCTGGAAGGGACCTTCAAAGGTCATCTAGTCCAACCCCCCTGCAAGGAACAGGGATATCTCCAACTAGATCAGGTTGCTCAGGGCCTCGTCCAACCTGGCCTTGAACGTCTCCAGGGATGGAGCATCCACCACCTCTCTGGGCAGCCCATTCCAGTGTTCTACAACTCTCATGGTAAAAAATTTTTTCCTAATATCCAACCTGAATCTACCTCCCTCTATTTTAAAACCATTACCCCTTGCCCTATCACAACTGGCCCTCCTGAATAGCCTCTCCCCATCTTTTAGGATAATTTGTCCTAAAACGTGACCAAGTTCTACAACATCATTAAAATGTGACCTTTGGTTGAGCTACGTGGTATCGGAGAAGGTACCGCACAGATGGTTCTAGTCAAAGCCATACTCACAATGTTAGTGACATCGGGAGAGGCTCCGTTCTGCAGCAGAAGGAGGACTATGTTCAAGTGGCCCATAAATGCAGCCACGTGTATTGGTGTGAGGCCCGACTGCGAAACAAAGCAAGAGCAGTTTTACTCCTCTGCACTGGCGTAGGGAAGGGGCTTCTTCGTTTAAATACAACAGAAGTGAAAGTGAGGTGTGACAGGAGAAAAAAAGAAAGCGGAAAGGGAGAGAGGAAGAATGTTTCTTCAGGACATGAGATGTTTTTCTACCTCTGTTATAGCCTGGATTGAAGCCCCATATTTCACCAGGAGTTCCATGACTTTGATGCGATTTTTCTTGCAGGCAATGTGCAGTGGAGTAAAACCATTCTGTGCAAAAGACAGTCATGTTAGTTCAAGACATGCAGCGACACTTTCCACGCAGCCCCACGCCGGCGCGCGGGGAGCAGAAGTGTTAGAGTACCAGAAGCAGTTGTTCTTTAAAGCACAACGGGTTACCAATCACAGACATCTCCCGGGATTCTGAGGCAGAACAAAGCAGCACTGCTTCGTTCTCAGGCTTTCTTCTCAGGCCATGGAGAAAGACTGAACTTCCACCTCCAAAACCCAACTACGGACATGCCCGTTCCCACTTTCCAGAGTAGGTGTGGGGTTCTGAAAGCTGCACGCACACGTATGTATGGACGACTTAAAGTGGTTCCCAAGATTGCTAACCTCAAGGAAAATAGAAGAAATGATAGTGATCGCTTTGAAATCAATTAGTGTCTTTTGAAATGTATAAAGCATATTCTCTGCCTCTCTAGGAATACAACAGAGTACTTCTTCCAGATTCCACCTTATTTTATTTGTCTTTTTAGACTGTCTTGTGATCTAACCGTCTACGTGCGTTTATTTTGATCTTTGTGCAGCAATCGACGGCGTACGGTATCCGTGTTGGTGTGCGTGTGTGCAAACTTCAGTAAATAATCACTACTTCAGCCATGGTTTCACGACACAAAGAGGTTCAACTCTTGAAGTCTTTGTGGCCCCCGCTTCCTCTATTCCTGCCCTGCTGAGTCATGAAGCGTCGCAAGCAAGGCAGTGGCCCACATCTGGATTAAAATTAAATGGAGCAGGGACAGGAATGGAAGGAGGGTGGGAAGGGAACATCCTAAATGAAGCTTGCCACCTAGCAGTTTGCGTCGTGAGACAATATTTCAGCGTTGTGCGGACCATCAGCACATATTCCTGTCTTTGGAAATGCTTACTGGGTTAGACTGGGGCCCAAATCAAAGCGTGTCTTCATACTCTACACTGTAACACTCACTTCGACGTCAAGCTTTTTTTGGGTACTATGGTAGATCATGTAGGCTGAGTCTGTGCCTAAAGCCAAGCAAACAAATTTTTCACCATAATGTGAACGTTTTAGTGAGAAGCTCAGGTAACATTCATTCATAGATTCATAGATTTCTAGGTTGGAAAAGACCTTAGAGATCATCGAGTCCAACCGTCCCTAATCCCCATTCTTTAGCTAACGTTGAAAAAAGGCTCTGTTTCCTAATGGAAAGGATCAGTAGTGCTAAACAATCAACTAGCAGGAAACAGAACTTATCAGTGGCATCTTAGCTCATGGAAAGAGGCACGTGACAGATTACTCTACAGTCAGCTTCTGTTAAGGGAAATGTTAACGACTAGTCGTTGAAGGTGCTGTAAAGCATATACAAATTGAAAAAGCTAAAGACTCCTAGAGTGCTTGTATCCCCAAATCATTTTGCAAACACTGACAGTTATTTTTTTTAAGCATAGCCGAAAAGGAATGATTTCTAAAATCGATTCCATCACAGGACTCTGCTGAATATTATTACTCCCATTAGCCTTCTCCAATTTCTAAAGGAAGAAATCAAAACCATTAGATATTTCACCTCCCACACATCTCGCAATATATTTCATAGGGAGTTGTACTGTTTCAGAAATTTCCACATTTTCACTTCATTTTACTGCCTGAGTGGATTGAATTTTGCTACTTCCATTTAAGCGAGGAACAGTTTGACGGGGGAGAGGAGAAGGTAGAAAAAAAAAAACGCATCACTAACAGAAATTATGAGCATCATTTAACGTATTAAATACCATAAACAAGCCAGTGGCGACAAGTCCCTGATGGGAGTGGAAACAAGAGGGAGTGAAAAAAAAAAAACCCAGTCTGGAGGGAAGAGAGCAGAGAGGCAGCGGCCTGAGGGTGTTCTCCTCTTGTTGCAGATGTTTCTCTGGGGGGAGGAACAGCAGGCCCATTTCTGGTCATGGATGGAAAAAAGAAAAAAGAGATGTGGGGGCTAGCATACAATGCGTATGTGTGGGCAGCTGGGGAAAGTACAGCTCATCAGAAGACTGGCAAGAAAACCAAGAAAGGATGAAAACAGCACGGAAAAAAGATCAACCAAGTGAACATGATACCAAGAAAGACAAAACAAGAAAAGCTGAGGAAGAGGAAGCAAGAAGGGTTATGGGATTTGCGGGTATAGAGAGGCCAAAAAAAATGAGAGGGCAGAAGTTGTGTCAATACAAAGTCAGTTCCAAGGACATAAGGGATGGGGGAACCTCCATAGAGAAAAGCGGAGTCTTATGGAAGGCAAGAAGCTGGAGAAGACATGGGAGTGGCCAGTGGAGGAAATTCTGTGGAGACACCGAAAACAGCGGGCAAAGACAGACTTCTTGCCATGCAGAAGTGTCTCCAAGTGTCTCAAGTGTTCACCAGTCTCTTTCTTTCCCCCACTGACTGTAATATGTATTTTAACTTCCATCCAGCTAGCAGTTCATGGGGACACTTCCTGCTAGAGAAAACTGGAATCTTGTCTGGGTTTGCATATATTAAAGACTCTCGAAAGCTTTCTATGTTCCTGAAGCCAGATGTGATGTCTTTCTCCCAGTTAGGGGATCATGGACTGATCAGCAAGTGAAAGCAATCATACCTGCTTTCCTGTAAGCATCACAAGAACTGTTTTTTGGATAGGAAGAAAAGTGTCACCTAATAGAGGGGAACGTCATAATTTGATAAATGCAGAAATATCAGCTTTTAAACATATTTTCTCCACGCCAATCAACTTGCCGATTCAGTCGAAAGCTTAAAAACTATTTGTGTGTCATATCACCTCGTATGGAAAAGGGAACTATAAATTCAGTAGAACACCAATGCGTACGTTACCATCGGCTAGAAACGGGGAAACTAGATTTTAGAAACTCTGTAGAGCTTCCAGACCTGATACTACAGCCATTTGCCATGGGACGTGGTCCGAGACCAGACCTAACGATACCAGACACAATACTGGTAACCAGGTGTGACAACCCCTGTCGTTACTGCCACTGTTTAAGGTTGTTGGAGTTTCTTGATGGAGCTTTCACTTAGCTTTACCGGTAAGAGCTACTCATCTGCCCTGGACAGCTTTGTTACGCGACGCAGGCGGGACAGGTTTACCAGGGCACGAGCATTGGGATTTGCTCTCTTGTCCAGAAGGAGTTTGGTGACGCGATAGTGGCCGCAGTGCGCGGCCACGTGGAGGGCGGTCAGGTAGTCCAGCGTGACGTCATCCACGGGAGCTTTGTGCTGCAGCAGGTGTTTGACGCATTCCACGTGGTCCCCCTGGGCCGCCATGTGAAGCGGAGAGAGGCCGTTCTGTGGCAAAAGAGAAGAGTAAAACTCCCAGTAACCCTCGCTTAGATGGTGGCACCTATTAGAAAGACGCTGTCGTAGGTGCGCAGAGTACCCCCGTCACCGACAGAGCCGCGTCTGAGCTATGGACTGGAAGAAAAACTGAAAAGCTAGAGCCACCTCTCCCCTTCCAGCAAACACAGGCAAATTTAGAGGAACATCCTGTAATTAACTAAAACCAGAATTTAATCAAAGCAAAATAATCCAAGGGTCTTGCCTCATGAATTAATAAAACTTGTCTTGACCTTAAAAGACAGTCCTGGGGATACTCATCCTAACACTAAGACACAGGTTATGCATTAATTAAGAGGAAAAGCACCTACTTACCCATCAGCCTATCTATTAAGGAACCCATATTTTCTTCTTTAATGAAAAAACAAATTATATTGGCAAACCTGACCCCTGAGCTTCTGGGAAATGATACTTTCAATCATCACCATTGGTTGGACGTTTTGTTCAAATCGTTAACACTTGAAGGGTAGTGGAAGCAGGACTCTTCTAGTCCTGTCTGGCTTCAATGGATCTTTTTGTAAATACTGAAGTTCTGCTCTGCTCAATCCCCATCACGGCGGGGACGTCGAGATGCTACCACGGCAACGCTGATATTTTGTCCTGACTGGCAACACCTGCCTTCGAACGGCAACATCTGGGAATCCTGCCTGAAGCGTGCACGATATATGTGGCAGGGTCTGTTCTTCTGAGGGTGCTGACACATGAGGTTCACCTGACCACCTTCTCCCACCAGAGCAATCGGTGAAACTATAAGGAGTCTTCTCCTTACAATTCCCATCTCCCTGTGGATCTCTCCTGCATAAACAGATGGACGACTTGGTGCTTTTGAGGATGTGTAGCTTGAGCACATCCTTATTTAAATTGTTTGTCCCTCCTCATCTTCCAGGGGACCTCAAGCATATCAGTGCAATGCTCTATTCCACCGTTTTCCAACTAAGGAAACCAGCTAAATTTTCCAGGCACTCTGACATTTACTGATGAGAAGCGCTGCTCAGGCAGCCACCACCTCTCTGGGCAACCTGTTCCAGTGTTCTACCACTCTCATGGTAAAAAATTTTTTCCTAATATCCAACCTGAATCTACCTCCCTCTATTTTAAAACCGTTACCCCTTGTCCTATCACAACTGGCCCTCCTCAACAGCCTCTCCCCATCTTTCTTGTAGACTAGGAATCATTTTCCCAGTCTGAAATAGTCCCTGAAAACAACGAGGAGAAGCTGCGAGTCACAGGTCCCAGTTAGCTTATGTGAAGGATCAGAAAATATATACCAGGAATCATCTCTGCAGAGTGACTGACCCAGCTTTCCCAGCTCTGTGTCCCTCTGTCTTAGGAAGGATGGGAAGTGAAGTGCTTGCAGGAGCACTGTGTGTCATGTTCCGTCTGATATTACGGAGCGGGGCAAAGAAGTGTATACTTTTGCATAAATTTGGAAAGGATAGCGCCTAATTATGTTAAGAAAGCCTCATTTTGGATTGTTCTACCCATTAATACACTTTCTTTGGGAGAACAGCAACGTTCCTGTCTTTTTCCTTGTCCTTTCAGTGACAATGAAAATTCCGTGGAAAGTTACACAGAGCTGTTAACGTGTTGTAATAAGACACGCACCTTGGTCCGCGCAAGCAGTGGGGCACCTCGTTCCAGGAGCAGCTCCACAACCTGGTCATGTCCACTTCTTGCAGCACAGTGGAGCGGGGTGAGTCCATCCTTAAAGTAAAAGGAGGGAAAACAAATGAGCACATCCTCAACTGTCCATCCCGGTGCTCTGAGGAACACCCTTCCAGGAACGCAGCCCCACACGTGTGTGTGAAAAAACTCCTTTTTTCTTGACTTCTAACTGAAGTTGGGTCCACAGTGTGAAGTTTCATCCCTATTCTTCCTTGCACCAGTAAAGGACACTCTAAGGTTACCGCTTCAAAGAGGACCCCCGTTGTGTGCTGAAATGTCCTATCAAAGAAGGTAACATGAGCATGCATTGCCTCCCCCTCTCCTTCTCCTCTGCATGGCTTTGAGACTGTATTGCCTCTCCCTGGATAATGCGTGCTGGGGCCAAGGATGCTCCATTAATCAATCCTTGTCCTTTGGATTGCTTTTGATGCAGGGCTGGAACATGAAATGTTCGTACTGGAAAACTTACTCCAAAATTTGTTTTTGTTTTTTAACAGGCAGCAGGAGAAAGAACATTTTAAAACAGAGAAAAAGAGATAAACAAACGGAACAAACCCTTTCATTTCTGAGACTGAGTGGTGAACAAAGAGCTAACAACTCTTTGCTACCATCACTGTGAGACCACCAACTCCACAGTGTTTTTTTCCCTTGAGGAACACCACCCTATACCAAAAGACTTGCTTGGGCAACTCAGTAACGATCCCGGCAGTGGCAGCAAAAGATGTGTCAATGAAACATTTAGACAGGAAAATGCATTCTAGGTAATTCTGCTACAGTTTGGACTTTATGCAGAAAACCACAGGCAAGAAAAAGGGTTGAAAATGAATATGAGTGCTGAATGAGAGAGAAAAATAGGGTAAGATCTAGAAACCCAAGTTTTCATCTCATTAGACCTTGATGTTGTTCAAGCGTGCCCTCGGAGAAGTCACCAATACTCATTCAAGAGAGAGGTTTATAAAGGTGAAATGGTAGTGGTTTTTAATCACAAGAAAAGCCTTCTCCCTTTGAGACACATCGCTCACCTCAGGTGAGGTAGATGCCAATGTTCTAGGGTGCTTTCTGAAGAATCCAGTAACAGCGTGATTAAAAGGTGAATGTACTGGTCTGAGATAGATCTATTACTTAGAGATTAAAAAAGTAACAAAAATACAAAACCATGGCCTTAAGCATGAGTTAGTGACCCTGCTTCACACATGGACACCCTGTTTGCCTTCCTGCAGTTTGGAAGACGTCTACAGCACTGGATTTTTACTTCTACTGCTAACACTTTCAAATTAAAAGTAGCTCTAGACCACACAGTGCCGTTGCGATGGCAACATCATTTCGGCTACGCAAACACAGCCCTGTAATACTCAACAGAAGGTGTTTCCAAGAACTAGATCCTCCCTCGCCTTCCATTTTGGAAGCACAGAGCCCGTTTCTGCGTTAGCAACGCAACAAAGCTCTGCCACAGCGAGGAACTGAAGTCTGCAGGGAGGAATTTTGCTCCTTCACTGATCTACTGTTTCCACAGATTTGTCAGGAACATGTGAAAGGGTCTGGTGTGCCTTTATGCTCCCTATCTCAGAGGAATCCCGTAGAAGCTTTGCAGTGAAATTCAAGAGATGCAAGATCGAACTCGCAAACGAGAATTTGAGGCTGTTCGGCACCGGGCAGATGGGGTCAATGTAAGGGAACTGGGTGTAATTGGCTTATCTGGGTATTTTTCTGTGCTGAAACTTCAGAGTCCCCTCAGTAAAGTCTTTACCTGCACAAGTGAGGTGTATTTTCATCTTGCTGCCAGAGGGACTTGTACCCACAATTCCCATTAGCATGACTAAGGTGAGAACATAGCCCCAACGTATTTAGAGGAAAGATATTTATTTGGTATTGCTTGACTAAGGTGAGAACATAGCCCCAACGTATTAGAGGAAAGATATTTATTTGGTATTTCCTTCCAGTTTCCTCCAACGCGGGAGGTTCACTTTCCCTAGCTGTCCAGTTTCCTCCAACGCGGGAGGTTCACTTTGCCTATCTTCAGAGTGACTTTGATGTTATCAGCGAAAGAAAGGAAGAGTTGTGTGAAGCCTTGAAAAAAGCAGGACAGATCCCCAGAGAGGGCAAAAAGAAGAAAAAGACAAGCTAAGAAACACATCAACGATAAGAAAGCCTAGTGAGAACAAAAATAAGAAAAATATCATTGAAAAGCATGATTTGTCCTCTGTTCTCATCTATAACTCCCTCCAAGGCCAGGTTGGACGAGGCCCTGAGCAACCTGATCTAGTTGGAGATATCCCTGTTCCTTGCAGGGGGGTTGGACTAGATGACCTTTGAAGGTCCCTTCCAGCCCTAACCATTCTATGATTCTATGACTCTATGATTCTAAAAGCAGGGATAAAAATTTGCTACCTCTTCTGCTCTGTCCTGTCCTAGCTTTCATAAATACATCGTCATTGACTATCTGTGCACGTTCTTGTAGGTGAACGAAACGTTGCAGCCTTCCCATATACCCCTCCTTCTCTTCCCTCTTTCTGTCCTGGGGAAAACAGCACGTCTATTTTAAAATTATTGGGTGTTTACTACTTTAGGTTCTATTTTTGCTTATTTGTTTTCTTCAAAGATGAAGGAAATGGCAAAGAGAGAGTGGCTGTAGTAGCAGAATTAGTGCAGAACACAACAAGGACAAACTGACATTACTCAACATCAAGAGACACATCGATGTACCAAATTAGTCTTCTTTTGCACCGTTATCTATTTGCAACGGACCTCAGTGCTCTGGAATCTCTTGCAGGAGTTTGCCTGCATAATTATTTACGTGTTCCACTGCTAATTGGTACACCACCTACTCTGAAGAACACACGCTGAGCAAAACATCAGACACATCTTCAGACAGGACATACCACACCGGGTTGAAGCGACGTAGACTTGGAAGCACAGGTAACGGACATCCCAGAAACACAAAAGCTGCCATGCCAGGAGACCAGAAATCCAGCAATTTGATATTTGAAGAAGTCCCATGTTTTTCTCCTCACCCCAAACAGGACATAATGGAGAGTTAAATGTTTTGATCTTCCAAGCGGCACCCTGGACCTGGTGTCCTGCTGTTCTGGTACGCGGTGCTCTCCTAACTCACGCTTTGCAACTGCTAGAAACGACGCTACAACCCTCTCTGTACGTAAGGAAGCCAAGAAATTCCATCACTCCTAATTCCCTCTTAAAAGGCTCTCAAAATATAAAGTAAACTTTTGCCTTTTTTTTTTTTTTTCCCCTGGAAAAATCAATCACCGGTCATTTCTCGACCCGCAAAATTAGTTCTGAATTCTGTGCACGACTCCTAACGGCAGGGCTCAGGAAGGTAAATTATTGGGTCATTTCCCAGTGATTGAAATGTTTTATTTCAGCTTACCAAAAGACTGAGATAAAAAGAAGCTGTGCTTACGAGAGATTCTTAATGGGAAACAATACGGGCAGCGTCTTAATAGAAGGAGACTTCATTCAGCGCTCATTCGAATGAAAACTGATGATAGCCCATGAGCATCAAACTTGGGTCAAATTATCAAAGAACTCTTCTAAACTGCAGCTGCATATTCTCCTTTTTATAAGTGTGAAATAAAATTTTAGTATTCTGTCTGTTAGGCAAAATTGTCTCAATTTTCTCGACAAATAAAGGCCTTTCCATGCGTTCATTTTTCGGTACTGCTAAAGCTCAGCTCCTGAAAAATGAACAAGGTGAGTCTCCTTCTTGCTCTAAGCTCTTGGAGTCTTGGCATAATTAAACATGCTCTAAAGTGTTCCTCCAGGTCTACCATCCAAAGTAGAAATTTTAAAAATACAACAAAAAATATACCATGTGCTTGCTTGAGTAATAAGACACTAACTTAAATATTTAATTCTCAAGAATAGTCACTATCTCTATGGCTTGCTTAAATAATCTGTACGACATCCCTTCCCACTCCCTTGCAAACGTTACGTGAATCCACTAAATTTTTTATCCTAAATATCTGCATTGTGATTAGATATTTATAACGTGACGTTGCTTGAGGAAGGGCAAAAACTGCCAATGAATTATTAGTGCTCTGTGTGTGTGGGAACACCAGGAGAAAATGTCATGGCAGCGTTACTGCAGGAAAAAGCCACCGTAAACGTGGAGCCAAGGCAGTGTTAGGATCCTGCTACAATGGCTTTCTGGTAGGAAACCTACTACCACGTGGAATTAGCAGAGTGCCGTGCCTATTTTCTCAGGATGCCTACACACAAAAGGAGACACTATCACAAATACATCTCAATAGGTTCCCAGAACAAGCGTTACGGGTTGTCTGAAGCACGTTCACCACAAAAAAACCTCCAATGCAACCCAACCCAATCCAACAAAATCCGATTTCCATCCCCCCACAGCTCTCTTCCTTTTCTTTTCCCATTGGTATCATACAACTCTGTGATGGAACTTCCACATCTTTCAGCTCCAGCTGAGCCTCCTTGCTTTTCCGTGGCCCTTTTCCAATCCAAATGACATAGGAGACCTTCTCCCCACCATTACCACGTGTACTCCCCTCTCCCGCTCCAGCTGCTGCGCTCCGAGCACACAACACGTTTACTTTCTCATGCAATAAGCTTTCCATTCCAAGACTAGATGCTCTGTTTCATTCCAGGGATAAAAAGTCCTAAGCAAGGACTAAGGACCTTAGTCTAAAGAGTCTAAAGAAAAGTCCTAGAGCAAGAAAAAACTAAATTTTGATGTTGGCAAGATTTAATAGGAAGAACGCAAAGAGTGTGAGATAGGTGAACATGTTCCTCCTTCCCTTCTCAGGGTGTTTGCAAACTTCCACAAAAATGGAAATACCAGTAAAGGTGACTGTGAATAACACTGTATTTTAAAAGGAAAAAAGCATGCAAAACCTAAAAAAGCCTCACAATCTCATTTTTTTCCTATACAATTTAGAGAGAGAGATGATAAAAATAGAGATATTACAAAAACTGCATTCGTAAAGAACACTCTGAAAACCCTTCAATAGTCATTAACATCTCAATATCCCACATATCCATACTGTTACTATTCCATTATATCAGAATATATATTTTTTAACAGAAATATATATATTTTGGCCATATTTGGTGAATTGCTCTGCTCTTAAATACTTAAAATAATTCTCCCTGTGTTTACCCTTACTATGTTTCAGGGATGCTGTAAATGCTTTCCTTCTCTCAAAGTGAAAATTGATAATTGCCACGTTACTTTTGACTACCTGACGTCAATTTAATCATGAACTGAACTCTACAGTCTTTGAGAGAACATGTTTCTGCACACTGATTCCCACCACGGTCTGCACAAGTGCTTCTCAAACCCAACTCCACTAGGTCCACCATCCCAAGTTGTACTGGTCAGAAGTCTAGCTAAATTTTAAAATTTTAACCAAACATATGCCACCGAAGTTCTTATTCAGGTAAATTTGTGGAGAATATAGGTCTGACTAAGATTTTAAAACACAAAATGTTTTAGTGTAAGAAATTTTACCAGTTAATTACTTCAGAAAAAAAACTCCAGATAAGACTTATTGAAGAGAAGTAGCACAAACACAGATATAACAGATAACACTAATAAAAGTATCCTGTTAATATTTTGGGGAATGGAGTTTACATTTTTGCTTTAGTCACAATATAAAAGTGAAATTAAATTCCACATTTTAAAAACTTATTTAGGTGTTAGTTGAGAAAAATGGTAAAACTTGCTGAAAAAATTTAAGTAAAATATTATTTTAACATATGTAAGTGTAGCAAGCGGATTTAGCAGCAATTCTGCATCTAGTGAGAAATGCCATAAAAATTCAGTAAATACATTATGAAATGCATAGAAAATAAAAATCCATAATTCCTGCAGTAAGCAGGGCTTTCCTCTGACATGCAACATTGACTACGGAACGATAGGACACATGCATAACTTAGGCTCTTTAAAGAACATACATTTCAATTATTTTATTATTTTTTTTTCCAGACAATACAGGGGCTCCTAATGGATCACCGCAATGGAATGTTTCCCAACATAAAAAGATTTCACAGGTAAACTCTGCAAAATTAGAGAACTGAGGCTCATCTAAAACCCGTCAAAAGAAGTTTTGGGATCTTAATTTACGCATCATCAGATGTCATGCAATAAAGCAAGTTAAAAAATAAACTGAAGGAAAGCAACGAGTACTTTTTTAACCAAAGAGCTTATTTTGATGCTGCATGGAGACCGAGAATAAAAGCCCAAGCTATCTGGCAAGGAAACGTCCTAGTGCATTTAATTCCACTGTTTTTCAAGGAATCTGACCTACTGGAAGGATGCAGGTGTTCCCCAGAAGAAATGAAAAGGCGAGTATGGAAAGGCAAGCACGTTAGTACCGAGGTGGAGGAGGTGGAAGTCTGTCCCTTCAGATACAAAACACACGTACGCATGGCATGCGACACCCAACCTACCTCTTCAACACCCTACGGACTCGCGGCCATAGCAAAGCACGCGGGGCATGCGGATAAAGCAAAGGGAAAAGGGAAAAAAAGACACCAAGACGACATAAACAGCTGGCACGAAGACAAGATCACGCCACAGAGACAGCGACAGCAAAACTGAAGCTCTGGAATCTTCCCCACTGTGAAGGACGGGCAGCCGACCGCCGCCGTGGGCCTTTGAGGGGTGATGGCAGAAGATGAAAGCAAGAGGAAGCTGCTGAGCCTGTGCAAACGGGGCTACGTGTGCTTTAGGATCCCTCTACGGCTTCTCACCGGTATCTTTGGGCAGAAGGTTTTCGAGCTCACCTAACAGCTGACAAAGGGCAGGAAGCCCAGACACGGAGAAGACTCTAAAATTAGCACCTTCCACCTACGCTGGGCAAAGTCCTGCTCTTTCGGTTTCATTCACAACTGCACATGGATCTTTGCGGGTGAGCGGGGAAGGGAACGCACCTTGACCTCTTTTCAAATCCAAACCATCCGTTTTCAATCAACTGTGCCAACTTGTCTAAAACAAGTATCGAAATACTTGAAAGGAAACAGGTGAATTTGATACTGTCATTCCCCAGGCCAAACGGACCACTTCTGTATGACTACTGGGCTTATGAGTATGTGGAATATCCTGACTGCAGCGTGGCATTACTGTTTCATGCCTCTTTACCATGAGATTTTAGGCACTTATTGGGCAAAATCGGACCAGTGATGATTTACTGCACACCTTCATGAGAGGCAGCATTCTCCATCATCGGTAGTTCAAAAAAAAAAAACCACCAGCAAGAGTGACATCGTTTCATAAATAATCAGAAATCAAAATCATAATCACATATAGAGTTACATGATCATCACAGTTGTCTTCCTAGCTTATGAAGCAAGAAATGATCAATGGAATGAGTATCAAAGTATCTGCAAAGGTTGACTCAACCAAAAGGGTAGCTGACTGCAATATCCTCTACCTTCCTACCTTACGAAACAAAAACTCTTACGTCCATGTCATCATGTCTTACGAACTCTGCTCTCAAACACCCTTTATTACTTGCAGATATAATTTTGCAGACCAGTGCTTAAAACCCAGCAGCTTTCAAGAACGAGTCCTGTGCAGTTCAGTTTGCGTAGATGAACGCATTTTCCAAGGTGACTCCAAAATACCACTGGAAATAATTAACCCTGCCTGTATAAACTGATGGGTTCTTCTTTTGTCCTGAATGACTGCAGAACCACCCATAAAGAAAGAGATAGGACATTCAGGGTACTGCAAGGCTTAGCTGAGTCCAGACCCTCCACTTCCCATTGCCAGGTTCTTGTGCCACGTGAAGCTGGACCAGCTAACAGGCTTATTTCCTCCAAAAGATCAGTTTCATCAGCTTTTTCTTACATGATGTAGGTAGACTGTACAGGAGACTAAAGGAAAGAGTATTTTCGCCTCCTGCTGTCACCAATACCTGCCATTTTTCAGTCTGATACCATGGAAAACATTCTCCATAAACCAAATAAAAATCTGAAAACTAAAGGTAGGATTCTGAACTTAAAAAAAAAAGAAAAGGGTACAAAAAAATAAAATCTCTTTATAAATTATTTTGGAGTCGCAATTTAAATTTGGTCCAAGTTTCAAAAAGAGTACACCTGCGAGGAGGCAAAATTTAACATTTTTGGAGCTGTGTTCAGCTGAACTTTTTTAGTATTTTTTTCTGAGTCGTTTATAACAGCCGCATCTCTCATGTCTCACTTTTAAGAACAGAGAACAAGACACAATTCCTGAAGCTGAAGCCCTAGCTATGAATCTTGGTGTTCCCAGTCTCTGGCTTAAAAAAAAAAAAAAACACCCACCAAAACAAAAACCAAAAACAGGCAAGCAAAAAAAATCCCAATCCATTCCCAAGAAGGGACAACATGATATTCAGGGAATAGAAAGACTCACCCTGGTTTTGGCATCGATCTGCCCTCCGCGATCCAACAAGAGCTTCACCATGTTTGTGTTTCCCCTTTTGGATGCCACATGCAGTGGGGTGATTCCATTCTACACCATGAGAAGAACAAACAATGAGCATGACGGATTGGAAGGTGCATAATCATGGTGGTGAAGTTGTGTTTCCGATCACAAAAAAATGAGACCGTCACATGGGAGAGAATAAACAAAAACGTACTTGAGCATCAGAGTTCGGCACACACCATGGAAGCCAGAGTTAGTAAGCCCTTTCTAAGCAAGAATTTTCATTTATTGTGTTTTTTGGGTTTTTTTTAACTTTAAATAAATGAAGAAGCACATCTGCCAAAGCAGCAAACATGACAAATAAACAAACATATATCAGAGTCCTAATGAGTCAGTATCCACAAAACATTGATGCATTTAAATCATTGCAACATACACAGAGTACACAAACGTGTGACTCTGACACAAAGGAACCTTCTGGGTGTAATGCCCATAGCATGAAGGAGTAGGTCCTGTTTAGGCTGAAAGTCCTTACAAATGCTTTGGGTGATAGATAATATTAGTAGCTATTCCAGGTTAGTGACGGGGGGAAGCCAGTCTGAAAGGCAGAAGCCTAAAGTAATTTGAAGCGTATCCAGCAAAATCAAACGGAAAACTTGTGATCCGGTAGCTACGTTGCGGTACAGATTACCAGAGGTTTTCGTGGCACCAGATGCTCTGCTTCCCGTCCCTGGAAGTGTTCAAGGCCAGGTTGGATGAGGCTTTGAGCAACATGGTGTAGTGGAAGGTGTCCCTGTCCGTGGCAGGGGGGTTGGAACTGGATGATCTTTGAGGTCCCTTCCAACCCAAATCATTGTATGATTCTACGATTTAAACCACGTAACGTACAACAGCAAAGAGACTGTATCATGCAGCTCTGCAGTTATTTACTATAAAAGAGTAGTCATGATTAATTGGTACTTTTATTGTTGCATTTATAGAAGAGCAATATACCTGGCTTTACTTTTTCAAAATATGTTTATATGCGAAAATATCAAATTGAAGTGTTACAGTAAATACTGAAAAAAACACTCAATCATAGAATTGTAGAACGGTTTGGGTTGGAAGGGACCTCAAAGATCATCTAGTTCCCATACCCCTGCCATGGGCAGGGACACCTTCCACTACCCAAAGCCTCATCCAACCTGGCCTTGAACACTTCCAGGGATGAGGCAGCCATAACTTCTTTCCTGCATATCTTTCTGGAGTGTGTCTAACTGACAGAAAGGCTGAAGTGAGTTGACACATTATGAGAATATATCAGCTCTTCGGATCGAGTCAAAGGAGCCTACTTCCTTCAGCTGGGAATACTTGTCGCTACTCGGCTCCCAAGGACTCCGGTGCATTGCACAGAGGCAACCTTTCAGAATTATGGCCAAAAAAAGAAAAGACATCTTTGAACAGAAGAGAACTTCAGCCTTACTTTGCTCCTCGCTGGCTCTTGACTTAAGAATGACACAAAGAACCCTCCCCCTTCTTTTGTAGGCCATTACAACTGAGAAGAAACGACGCCGTACCCTCGCTGTGAAGTCGACGGCAGCCCCTCGGTTGAGCAG